TTTGAGTGGAAGAAAGATGAAAAACTAATGATTGTTTTTGGTTTTATACTTTGATAAATGGTGTCACTTTAGTGATTATTTGGGGGGAAAAAAAGGAAAACGTTCACATCCTACTGGTGGGTTTTAAGGTTTAAGTTTTTTTCTTTTTTTAGTGCATGTTTTGGTTTAGTTTTTATCTGTTGTTCTAATATTCAGAAATTTCTTTGCACAGTGACAATAAAGCACCACATTGCTGTTACAGCGCCCACATAAACCAGCACAAAGTCGATTTAATCATCCGCTGCTTTCGTCTATTTTTATACACTCGTCCCTGCTGTGTCTCCAACACGCTGCATAAAAAGCAGCTTTTCCAGGTTCTGACCTCCTGAAGCGAGCTGCGGAGGCTCAGGCGTCCACGCCGGAGCTCAGTCGAAGGAAGCCAGCGTTTCTTGAACTCCAACACCAGCTGCTGGGCCAGAAACTCCGCGCTGCATTGTGGGAAAGTGTAGATTAACTCACGACTCGGTAGAAATGCGACGATCTGGGGGGACTGACAGTGACCGTTTATCTTACTTTTTCAGAGAATCTTTGTGCATCAGCGTGGCGTCGACTCCACAGTCTGAAAGTCACACGTTACACAGAATGAGCTGCATTTTCTGGCTCGTTTCCAACAACATGACAACACTTTAACCCACATATATCGCCTGCTGTCATTAAAAATCGACTAAATTAAAGAAGTGAAGAAGAAAAATTCTCTCAAAAAAACCCAAAAAGTCGGTTCCTTATATGTGAACAGCAAAGATGCCAGAAAGAAATACGTTTAGTAGTCGTACAAACTATGAAAATAGCAGCAAATATCTGTAAAATAACGACATTTTTAGCTAATTTCAGTGATGTTACGGACACAAAATGTAAAAGAACAACCTGCTGTTTGTAAAAATACAGATTTTGTTGACATTGTTTGCAATTTTTTGGTCTGTTTTTTTGTTGTTGTTTTCAGTCAAAATGCAAATTAACGTTTTTTTTCTGTACTTTTACTAGATATTACCTTTAATCCAGCAAAACATGGGAAAATCTGTAACATAACATTTAAAAATACATTTTTCAATCCTTAACATACATATTTTGTCTTGAAACAAAATTATATATCAGTAAAATTATGTTGTTTGCNATCATTACACATAGACATCCAACAAATTCAGTGATTCTTAGTGACAGAAAAGCAGAAAAACGCTTTGAACAAGAATAAAAGCAACTTATTTTGTATTAAAATGTCTGGATATGTGAAGCACAATAACCCTTAAAACACAAAATCTCCCACATTTCAAACACCTGGGCTCCACTTCCTGTTAATGGACTCTTTATATTTATTGTGAATCTGTTTTCATCTGATTAGTCAGTGTGTAAACTACATTGTAGGGTTATTTTACTGCTCATATCACTCTTAATATATCTACACAACTGAGTTCATCCTATAACTTTGGTTCCTACCTGCCATCGTTTGTGGGGGGACGGATGTGAGTGTGACAACAGTTGGAAAAAGGAAATGAGTTGTTTAAAAAAGTTCTGTTTTGTGCAACCAGCAGTTCAGAATCCAAACATGTTGCAGAGGAATAAAGATTTACATCTGAGAAGCTGTAAGAGGAGATTTAAATAAATAAATAAATAAATAAATAAATAAATAAAAATAATTTCTGTTGTTTGCTGCAACAACAGGCCTCTGGTTTCATGGCTGGAATTACACTAACATTAATAATAATAGTGTAAATAGATGACAGATGTGGGGATGATGGTGTGAGCAGGAGCAGAGGCATTCATTCGGTGTGAATCATCGGCTGTGAACTCACTGGGCTCCACCTCAGTCCCACAACCTGCACACAGGAAGTGCTGCGAAGCCACGACTTCACTGCGTCTGTTGTGAGAAACAAAAAAACACAAACGGTGAGCCGGAAGGCCCCGAACCGCCGCGTGAACGTTGTTTCGAAGGCGGACCTGTGCGTCGGCTGGACGCTGAAGATGATCTGGAACCGAGGCGGAGCCCAGTTCAGGGATCCTCTCATCCTGGTCCTCAGCCGGATCTCCTCCGTCAGGCTGCCGCCGCTCACCGCCACGCCGCCGTTACCCGGCAACTGGCAGCATCACAGGGAATAGAATAGAACAGAACTTTATTGATCCCCATTGAAGGCGGGATGTTTATTCACATGTTCATATTTCCAGCTGTTTGAGTTGATGTCCGAAACTCCAGATGTGTTTCACCTCTTAAGACCTCAGATCA